AATGTTAAAGGATATTAGATAATTTTTTATACGTAAGTCGGTGTTATATTGATGGCACCGGTCCAATCCGTAACGCGAAGACGGCATGGCACCTTTTGAGACTTTGCTGGATAATCTTCGTTTTTCGTGTATTAACATGGGGACGTATGTCCGGCCGCACGTTTAATACAGGATCCACACCCACACGTTTATCAGCTACGCTCAATGTTCGATAATTTTATTACAAAAGTTTTGTCAAATTACTTAAGCCTTTATATTAAATGATACTTACATCTTTTGGTATTAAGAATGAATTAATGTCGAATGTTTTATACGCACTTATATTAAAATAAGTATAAGGTATTAAATTAATTAATAACTTATTATAAAGTTTAACTAAAACACTCTGACAGTTAAATCATATAAAAATTATGTATAATACGACATACATAAATCTTATATTATGAGATCCACAATCCCCACAAACGTCATGAACAATTGTCAAAGGAAATCCTTTTCAAAACAACTCCCAAAATCCCCCAATTCAGGAAAATTGTAAACAAAAGTATCATATAAGTTTATTAATTACACGACCCTCCTTGAGCCCCCATGAATATTAATTACTGCATAGAACTCAAGAAGGGAAACTTTGGCAAAGAGGTTTATAATTTAAGAAGAAACATCTATGTTTCGAAACGAAGCGTTCGAAGAAAAATACACTCGACAAGTTACTTTATTTGTTTGGTTTAGAGTTTATATTTATGTAAATGTATCTCTGGTTGCGTGAAGAAAGCGAAAAGTCAATGGGTGTTCGGGGCTAGAGGCCACGCCTTAAGAAATAACACCTATTTTGAATTATTAAGATTGTATTCTATTAATGAACGTTACTTCATAAGTAGTAACGTTAATATAAATAGTACGAACGTTACTTCAAATTAATAACTGTACTATTAAATAACTTCATTTCCAATTAGAGAGAAAAAGAAAAATATCGTTTGTGGATGTAGGAAATAATGAGCAGATCCTGAGCGTAACAGATTATCATACTCGGCCACCCACAAACATAGCAACGTACCCTGTACACAGCTACAGCACGACGAAAAAAAAAACTTTACTTGCTAAACAGTATAGAGTTTTAAACAAAAACATTAAAATGAAATAATAATTTCCTTTACTACTCGAACGCCACGTGTATTTCGAGTAAATCAAAGGGTATGTAAAGTACTCAAAAGAGAAACATTCATGTAATGGACAAAAGCCTGCAGGCATTTGGTGAACATTTAGTTACGTAAGTCACTTCAAAAACGCTTCAGGCCTACAAGTAGATCAACCAAAGGGAGAAGGTGCGGTCCAAATGAAACAAAACATTATATAAAACGAAAGTCGCTCTTGTAAAACAAACCCACACCCGTAAATTTACGATTGTTTTTCGTCTGCACATTACATTGCTCTGTTTGTTTACAAACCGAATACGTACAAATACCTACCCATTAAGTTTAACATGGACTTTTTTACAGAACACTCTATAGATGCTTTTCTAGACGATGTTCAGAAGCTTGTTTCATTACAATAGAATCCAGTGTAACGGTCAAATTATGTGCATGAACTTATACTTTTTAATTTTAATTTCTGTAACCTTTTCTTTTTATTGAAAAAAATATATGACATGGACTTTATCTTGCTTATACAGTTGATTAATATTTTTATAAACAAGTTCTCAATATCATAATAGTGACGGAATACACCGCTAATCGTGAATAACGTTAAACGGAGCACTACGAGTTATTATTTAAAGTAATTATTTAATTAACATGCTGTAAGTCTCAACCTCTTAAGCGAGTTAGGGCAACAAGGAATTAAGTATGGGACTAATGTTTACACGCGTATACGTAGCTATTGTTCCACGAGACCCCCTGTGGTGGTATTTATGGCAGCAATAGCCAAGTTTTGGCACACACACCCGATCCAACGTCATGCGCTTATATATTGAATTGAGTCAATTTAAAAACGAGAAATGTTTGACAACCATTGAACGGTTAACAAACGGTTGACTTTGACATTTGCTTAAAAGAGCATCAATGAACGATAAACAGTACGATTTTAACACATTATCTGGGTATATTTGTGAATAGTGGTGCCATGGAACTATGACTGTTAACAATGTTACTCTTACCCTCGCTTTTAACGTCATTAGTTGTAAGAGATTTCGTAGTAACGCATAATGTGTATTTGTTTTCATAACTCAATGTACGCCATTTTTAGCCCTTTGTGTGTCGGATACGGTTAATCGGTGTGGGAACTTGATATTTCGCGTGTTGAATTTACAACTGTAGAAGATATACTTTTATGGTAAAGGCAGATGTCATATCAATATAATATTCATGAAACTGTTCTCATATGAGTCTACGTTGTAGGTACCTCATTTTATAATGAGTTAAATTAAGTGTCTGTAAAAAAGGAAATTACCGTTCATAGAAAACGCAAATATATATGCTTATATATCGTCTAAAAAAGATCGTACGGTAAGCTTAAAAGAACAGAAACGTAAAACTTAAAACAGAATCATTTTTCTTTTCAATTAAAAGTAGGAAGTACAACAATGAAATAAGGATAACTAACAGCCAGGAACAAACGCTGTGCAACAAGACCCTTACCCTTCTTACCCTTCCACGAGGCACCAGATGCAAGAAACAATTCAGCTGAGCAAATTATTTTAAAATTTGTAATCATTTTCACACTTTACGACTAATACTGCTTAGAATTTGATATGCCAATAAACTCAGTTATTGTTAGTATTTCACTAAATTAAGCAATGAATTTAAACCTCCGTTTGGAATTGTGCGATTTTAAATATTTTGTTTGTTATGAATGTTAAATCACGAGTAACAATATTACAACGACAAATACGTTACAGACCCTTATATCTTGCATAATGAACAAGGAGACATTTTAATTTAAATAATAGAGAAATAGATATGTATATGTGAATGACTAATGAATACCTAATCTATATATTTTTTAACTTGTAGCAACACTAAATCATGTGTGATTAGAACTAAAAAAAATTCTAATCAAATTTAAATGAATGCTTTTATACATAATATTAATACATTACTTAAATAAACAATCGTATGAAACAACAAAAAGAGGACATAACTCAATTATCAAATCCGAGCATTCATAGTCACTTTTGTTAGTGAAAACAAGTAAATGTAAATTAATATATTTACCCCCGAATCCTATTTTGTAGTCCTTTATTCCGTCTTCATTCAACTCTCGCAATCGCAGACGTTTACCGAGTTTCTAACAATAATAATCCGCGAATCCGTAGGTTTGTTCAATCAAATAAGTTCTTGCTTTATAATTTAATTCCCATTTACATCAACTAGATTCAACGTCGACCAAAAATTTTAATAACAAAATAACTTGGCAACTTGGTCTCGTCAAATATAATAGCGAAGTTGGAAGTAATAAGGCAAAATTTTATGCATAACAAGGGGATGGCGTCAAGGGGACGAGGGGGAAGCGTAGGAGGTTGGAGGCACTTGTCGGCCTAGGAATGAAACGTCGAGCCTTATGAAGACGAACAACTTCTTAACAAATATAAATCTCCCTTCATCCCGCGTTTTTATGCAGTTAGGGGTAACGCTAATTTACGAACCGCTAGAAAAATTTTATACCCAATATGACTTAATTTTTTTGTTTTTGGAGTTTAGCTATAAATGTTGTTTGTAAAATAAGACAACATTTAATATTTTGCGTTTTAAATTGACACCCACTTATTTATATCACATATATGTATTATAAAATTAAAAAGTATGTTGGATTGGTTATTTTTTGTATCCATTTAAAAAAATTAATACTGATTACTTCAAAATATTTTAAAATAGTATTTTGACTTTTTAAAACTAAAAGGAGCAGCACAGATTTTTACCGTAGTTTTCTACACAGCTTTTACAAATATAAATACTTTTAAAATTTAGTGTAAATTGTTACCATAAAGCTATAAAAACGATATCATCCGCTTAATAATCATTTCAGCAGACTGCGTGACAAATCACGCGGCGTGTCAGGCATTCTCTTCAATATCACAGCTGCATCAAAATTTACATACGACAGCAAAATATATTAAAATGCTGTCATCGCGCCAAGACCCAGTTGCGAGCCGTCATTGACACCGGGCGCCTTCAGTGATTAGCAGGGAGACAAGGAAAAAGGGCTACCCAATAATTACGTTATGTACCCCCCTGTGAATAATTACCCGACCAGATCAATTAAGAACACCCCGTATTTAAGGACGCTAATGAGCCTGCAAATTTTTATACCGTTATCAAATTAACGGATATTGTAATGATCATAGAATATAACACTATTAATTTATTTGTGCATGTACCTATACTAAGTTTAGAAGCTACATTTGTACTATTATAAATTGCAAATAATATATCTGTGTGATAATTCGTTTTGTATAATTGTATCCACACTAGAGAGTTGTTCATTCAACTTAGACATTTATCTATTACTTTTTGCCCTTTACAAAAACTAACGTTTATCGAAATAGTCAGGATGACACGGTAAAGGACCGGTTTGTCATACTTACACTCACAAGTCGTAAAACATTTTTTCCACTTCCTACTCAGAGCGCCGTAACGACTTAACATATGGTGAACTAAATTATGTTACCTACGTATAAACGACAGCAAAATAAAAATGTCCAAACATTTGTATACATTAAATAAATTTATCATTCCTGTTTCATTTATAGCGTCAAAAGGAAGCTGCCGTGCGCACATGGGGGCCGTCAAATCCCAGACGTATTATTTTTTCAATATCATTTCGCAGCTAATGCGAGATAACGAAAATCGCTACAATCGGATGAATGTTCGCGCCGCGTGAAATCATCTCATTGTGACTTCGAAGCGCTCATACACGTGTATGTGGGCAGACAAGGGTGCGGACAAACGAACATACCTGTCAAAATATGACGAGCATCGTCTACAGATGTCTCTATTGTCAACAAACTAATCTAATTTCGCGTTGTCGAGCGTGAAACGGCGTGCGATTAACACATTTTCGTAACGAATTATTGGGAGGCTGTCAGTTTTGCGTAAGCCGTGACAGGAGATTGGCAGGCCGAGGGCAAGCAGGTTGGGGTCCAAGTGCATCGATGCGTGGTGCGCACGGATTGCATCGACGCAGACGCTAGCCTGAAACGAGCGCCGATCCTAAAACAAAAATAAATTCTTATAGACCTAATTACAGAAAGCAGAATAACAAGTATAGCATGAATTTAATAATTACTAAAACTATATAATTATTAATATTACATAAAATTATTTAGAAATATTTCCTTCATACGTTACTTTTGGTTGGTGCTTTAAAAAAAGGATTTCACTAAAGGAACTAGGAAACATATCATGTGTCAGAATCTCATTCCCAGTACCCTAATACATTTGTAAAGATACGACTACTTAGTAAAATTAGAGGGTCGGAGAGAAATGTCACACAAAAGTTATTTAGATGTTTACGTGTGCATCGTGCCATTAAATAAGCAACGAATCGTTGCGGGGGTCGGATAGAACCCTGGACAATGAGGTCCACAGCCGGCTCACCCGGCGCACTAACGTGATTAACTTTTACATCACCAATCTCAGCTACACTTTCAATATTTTATATAGTGTTGTTTGTTTACATAGGACCGGAACAAAAACAGTAACATGATACTTTCAAAACTCTCGCCTCATTTAACTTCACCTGTCAAATAATGAACTTCCTTAAACATTACCAAAGTTATCTAATATTTATATACATATTTATAAATATATCATACATTACAATTTGTCTCGTATTGCAGTCTTGCTGACAAATCAATCACTCGAACTAAATGCTCTGTGTGATTGTAACTTACTTGTACATTTGTGTAAATGTCTAAAATGGTACATTCCAAATTGTGTTCCAACAGTAATGGCTTAGATACCATTATGGTGTAACATGATTTGATAGGTTTGAATATACTAAACCTCATACAGATGTCTGCGAAGGCCCTGTTACAGGATGACGATCTAATGCCAAGATAATGCTCAGACAGAGGAGTTAATTGCAAGCACTGCACCATATTCAGGCGTTGGGCCCTCACACGCTCCCTTGAGACAGCCACCTTCCCCCTTTATTCGAGCCCCATAATACAGTCGACCTCTTAATCATTCACTTCTAATGGAAACCCATCCGATGTCTATCGTGCGCTAAAATACGCATAAAATTTAAATGACCCACTCGAAACGGAGGTAAAAAAAAATTGTCGCCCCAGAAATGTTTGCCAAAATACATCGAACTACGATGAACAATAGCAAGCCACCAACGCCGAAGTTTCGTTTCCCGCAGAGCGTTATGAATAGAATAAAGTAAGTTAAATTCCCTACCACGAGAACCATCAATCAATATGTTTCATTAGTAAACATTAAGATGTTTGCTTACATGTTTAAATTGTCCAGACGAATTCCGTGAAATGACTTAGTATTATATAAAACGATGTGAATTTTGACAATTTACTTGCAAGCGCACCGTGGGTGTCTGTTAAGTGAGAATCATACAAATGCAGTTCGAGCATTAATACCTATCTGGCCATCCTATTGTGCTCACAAATAAATCATGACTGGCCAAGAATCGACAGAAAGTGAGACACCATTTATGGTTCGGTCGTATTATTTTTTTGCAGCATTGTAATTGATTTGTTTACTTGTTTATAATATGTATATATACGTATATTGGAAGAATTCGACCGTTATTGTGATGTATTACAATAAAAGCTAAATTTAAGATATATGTATATTCTATTGAGATATACAAAATAACGATTTATACAAGTGTAATTTATTATATTGCAATGCCCTTTTAAATCAATTTACAACATATAATAAGAATACAGTGTCTACATTTAGTTAAAATTCTTAAGGCAAGATGGGTTAACAGATAACTTCTTAATAATTATTTTATTTTATGCAAGAGTCGATACAACATTGTTCTTTTTTGTGTGTCCTCTGTTTCTTAACATCAGGTAGGTGTTATAATGATTTGGAATAGTTTTTTTATACATTACGTTTAGTTTGATAAATAACCTGTTTTTAAAAATAGTTTAGTATTTATTTCTAAGCAGCAAACGTTTTTTTATATTTTATTAACATATTTTATAATTATACAAAAATAGTTATTTTTAAAAACAATAATTGTTCTCCATTTTTTTTCTCCAACGTTTGTTTATGAGAACTTTCATTGTAGAAAATATAATATTACGAAATTCAGCGAAAAATAACAATGCACTTGGATTTAATATGTTGCCTGCCTGTTTTAAGAGGCCACCTCTGGATTAATTTTTATTTTAACAAACACAGCGCCTTTTTATTGTGTTATAAAGATTTAGGGTCATGTTAACGCCTGAACGTAAAATTTGTGTTCACGACTGTTCTTTAGTTGCTTTACAAAATTACCAGGCGTTGGCTTTATATTTCTTTAACGTTAAGGAACGGTTCGGTTTGAAATTATTTTTAAATGTAAATATTGAACGCATGGTCATAAAAACCATGTTTTTGTTTTATAGTTCTTTTTTATTCACTTTACAATAACATACTACTTTCGGACTGCAGACACCTTAACGACTTAGATTTTTAAAATATTAAAGAAATGAAAATCATTGTAAATTATTATTATTTTAATTTGTTCAGAAAATTTTTCTAGATCTTTAATGCCTTAGTATTCAAAAATGAATTTGGAACATTTTTTGTTCGATAATTTGGATATATTCTCTTAAAAAATACACCCCACAAAGGTTAATTTAAAGGTGGACGTTAGCGAGTGTATCGTTTTTAAATTCTGGAGCATAAAGTTTCTATTCGAAAATCAGATACGGATTTTATGCCTTTGCTATCTGTAATATTACCGTCCATCGCTAGTAAGAGCTACTTTCGTGTGATGATAAATCGTTCGAGCTAGTGAGACCCCACTTCGAAATTTTATAAAGGATTATTGGAAAACAAATAAATAATTATTAAATTGATTCTTTAGCATAAATTACTCATTTATTCCGATTAAAAAATAGTTGTACTATTAATAATAATTATAGGTAAATATTATGTAAGAACTCCCTAAATTACCATAAACTAGGTGACTAGTTGTATCAGGATGAACAAATTTGTGAAAACATTTGTATTAGTCACAGGCAATATTTCTTTGGCGTCATGATAGAATGACCGTCAGCACGAATGATACTACTATTTATTCAAATCAAAACGATGTTTAGATTTTGATATATATTTTTTGTACCGCATCTAAACCTAATCGTTTTAATGTTCCCGTAACTCAAACAACACAAACAAAATAAAAAGTGTCAACATTTCACTGGATCAATTAAAAAAATCCTACATGCAAGTGACAACATCTACATTTCCAGTGTAGATACAATTATTTTTGTTTATTCTGACATCGTGACCCTGGTTTTGTTGTACCTAGGTCTACAATGTGTTGTATAATTAAATTTATCATTATCGTTTTGTATCTCTTAGTGTATTTAGTAATACATTATAAAGATGACAGGACAAATATATGTAGCTCTATTGTTTTCTATGTGTGTTTATTTGCAGTTCCATCCTGAGGGGAATTGAATTGATTTTTTTCCGCAGAGACAGTTGGAGGGTTGGAAAGTGAAATAGATTAGAAAAAGGCATACAACTACAACAATGGCTATCTAAAACTAAAATCTTGATTGTGTTTTATAAAAATCAAGATTATAATTTAAGAATATTGTGCGGTGATTCCGCAAATATTTTTAAAATATATCTTCCTATCGTTTACGTTTCTGAAGTCACTAATAACATATTTGTTTTGTTGGTATAACAAAACAAATATGTTATTACATTTATAACGTATGTAAGCCATTAATCATAAATATTGTATCATTTATAACATAGCTCTTATACCAAATATAGGAAGGGACAACGTAAACCACTCACTTTTTATGACTTATTCAAATAATGTTAAAAAATTTTGCAAGTTGAATACAATTATTCATAAGTCTAATAAACACAATTCTAAAGCCGCTTTATTGTAAAGGGCGAGGCAATTTAAAAAAAAAAGCAATATAACAGATCACCACAGTTAAGCCATTTTAATAAAATAGAACAAAGAAACACCGTTATAAAAACAACCCTACTTGTTTGTAAATAAAGGCGACGTTGTGTTGTATGTACACTCCAGAGTCGTGTTGGCCGCGTGTCGCGGATTATATGAATTTTCATATCAAAGGAGTTCAGTATTCCGAATGACACTCATTTGAACGAAGCGAATGTCTCAACTAGGGTACGTGGGAGTATTTAATTTGCTTCAGTTTAATCGCATTATACACATCTTTATTTGACCGCGTTATCTTTACTCTGCAGTGATTGATATTTGTTTTTACACATTGATGGATTATGATAGTAATACATTTGTTTGTAGATGTTTCTATTAGATTTGTTTGGTAATAATAAAATAAAGATAACTATTTGGAGTTGTATTTATACATATTTCGTATATGGACCATTCTAATAATAAATAATAATATTATTATAACAATTCCAGATAATAAGAAGTATGTTTTGTATTCACAAGGAATACATCCACGTACTTAAAAACGTAATTGTATAAGGAAATCGATAAAACGGTAACCGGAAATCAGTTAAAGTATCTTTTTAAATTATTTCCATATATAAAATTAATAAAGTTCAAAGTGCCGGAATGTGGAATTGGTTTCGCAAACGCTGGCGCAGACCACCGGCACTGGCATTGTCCGATTTGTTCTCATTTCCATGAATTTTGTTTATTCAACTTTTTACATTTTTTTAGGCAAGTTTGATTTATTTCTGCCCATTAGCTTTGGTAAGTAAAGAACGCAGAGCCTCGCTACGGGACGTCCGATGTTTTCGCTAGATAGTGGAACACATGTTCTCAACTTGTATGTTTTCATCCGATATTTGATACATACGTAATAAATGTTCTGAGGTGTCACTTATTAAGTTTTTGTGACAAAGGCGTCGGATTAGACGTTAATGGTCGGGTATTTGATCACTTAATCGATTTAAATAAGATTTTTTTGTACTTCATAACCATCACATTTGATAATATTATACCCATTGTTAAATTACTACGTCGTTTATTAAAATTATATTTTTTTGCGATATTAATGTGCTTTGATTTACCTAACATTATTAAGGTGTATGAAATAATAGACAAGTTTTAACGTTCACCGTTTCTAATAACTAAATGAAAAGCTACAAGAACAATTTATGAAAACGATACACTTTTCTATTTTATTGATAAATTAAATTACAGTACCACTTAATTTGACATGTAAATATCAACTCCCAATACTCGACTCATCCAGTGTAAACAAATCAAGTCATATTTAAAACAAAGGTCACTTGTCACTTATCTGTTTTTTTTTATTGCATTTCTGTTGTAAGTTTTTGTCCGTCGATGAAGGAAGGAAACCTCTGCGGGCGGTCCCAGACCCCTGGGGCCTGTAAGAATCGTCGTGATGCTGAGACAAAACAACGATCGCAAAGGACATTCGTTGCTCGCATAGACTTTGGTTATCAAGTACTTTATAAACTTTGTATCAGAATTAATGTGAAATTATGTATGTTAATACATTATAGCCCGATGATAAGACCTCTATCTCATTTTTGGGCTAAATGAACTTGATGTTTATGATGTAAGGAAATATATAGATGATATGAAATATTTGAATTTTACTGCGCGGTTAAAAACGTATTGTTACATTAGTTTAATAGTCGGTAAGTGAATTAAGTTAGAAATACTTTTACCACACACCGAAATAAATTGAGAAAATGTGATCAAATACTTCACTTTTTATGCTTTTATCCAATTTAGTAAAATTAAAGAAATATTGTAATCACTAATCATAAACTTAAATTCATACAGTTCTTCATATTTCTTCTTAAAACGCTGTAACACATGACATAAGCAGGAATTAATTTACACTAAACTCATATTATATATGTTTAAAAAACGTTGAGTAAACGAGATATTTAAAAATAAATTTTAATAACCACACATTCTGTCAAA